TCAAGGAATTCACCTCACGCACACTGCAAAACGTAGTATGAAATCGAGGGACTCATACCCAATCCCCTCGATAGAGACGTGTACTTCACATCCGGCCAAAAAAGCGCTATATAAATTAATACTCGAGTAGATTCAAAAATAATTCACACCACACTACTGTGCGAGCTCACAGAAAATATACATATTTTCTTACGCTATTACAAGGATCTCCCTGACAGGATTGTCAGGAGAAGGATGAATAATCCCCTTATACCCATGCAGGCTAAGATTCAACTTGTCCTTGAGATCCACGATCTCTAGGTCCTGAGCATGCACCCTCATCAACAGCTCTTCTCAAGAACTCCGAGTTCGAGGATCCACTATTTCCTCCGGATGTTCAAAAGCCTTGAAGTCAATGTTGTTGTCTAGTAATAGATTTTGCAACTTGGCAATGTAATCCGTAAGGAGCTCGATCTCATGAGCCTTCTCTTTCAGTATATCCATGGCTGCAATAAAGCGACGAGTTCTGGTCAAAATCATGTGTTGAACTCGGGCTAGCACTTGATGCTTCTCGACGAACCAAGGAGACACCGTAATCTGTTGTCTTGCCCTCAGCCGAGCATTCTCCTTCTCCAAGGTAACCAGTTCATCATGGATCTTGGCCTCGAAAGTCAAAGAATCACTGGAGTCCTTCAAACTTTGAGCTTCTCGACATTGTATCTCCTCGCGAAGTCCTTTAATCTCGTTTATCAGATGCTGATTAACCTTTACATTATGCGTCCTCATTGCATCGAGAAGGTCATTCTCTAAGTTTCCCACTGTCTCGATACTGTGACATCGGCACGACTTCTTAAAATTCCGCTAATCATGGAATATAGTGGGAACTCGCTCGACTTCTCCTCCGATAGCAGTGAACACGGTGGACGGTCCAACTATCCTGCTTCATAAGAGGAGTGTAAGAAGTTTACATCAAACCAAGAAGGAAAAAGAAGGGATGCTTGTCTAAGTATGCAAAAAGAAGAAATGAAGTACTCAGTCCATTACAAAAAAAAAAACAGTAGTTTGGAGGGCCTAAAAACTATTACAAAGGGCAGGATTCATACAGCATCACTGCCTAGAGGGGGGTCCTTGGAAGGGTCCTGAGAAGCATCCTCGACATTTCTCTGAACTCCAGAATGGCCAGTATCAGCGACATCCTCCTCAGTGGCTTCGTCGGCATCCTCGAGCTCGATACCCATGTACTCGTCCGGTACATCAGGTACAGGATCTTCTTCACTTGGGCCCTTGGCTAAGATAGCAAGAACGTCGCCAAGGAACGAGGCAATGTCCGTCGGAGAACTCATTTTCGCCAGGGCACCAGTCAGAGCTTCCCACAGGGGTAGCTGCTCGAGGCTCAACTTTGTTAAGACCTTCCCCATCGCCTCGTGCATGGTTTTCTTGAACCATTTGGCTTTGATCGGCCTATCCTGGTCGAGCCTCTTCAAACCTGCTACCCCAACCCGGTGCGCTCCGCACTTGGTGGCAACCAAGTTCATCTCCTTGAGTGCTGCAGCCATCCTTCCTGTAGACAGTACTTTGTACATGAATGCAGTGCACCACTGGTGCAGTTCCTGTTTCGAGATGTGCAAGCTAGCAAAGGACTTCATCTTCTCATCCAGTTCATCATACTTGGCTTGAACCAAGGTGATCTCAGCTACCTTCGCTTGGACCTCACGAGCCTTTCCCTCGAGGGTCACCACCTCGAACAGAGCTCCATCTCTTTCAGATCGGGCCGTGGCCAGGTCCTCTTGTAGTTTTCTCAGCTGCACCAAGTAGGCCATCGAAGCCGCGCTTATCTACATTGGCAAAACACATTAGTAATATACTAGGGGCGTATTGGTTTGTGATAAACACTCGTAATAGCTATAACTCCCTTACCAGTCTCAGGCTGTCAACCTCATTCAGCTGAGAAGCAAATTCTTCAAGGACGGGACACTCGATCGTCGGCGGATTGCGGAAAGTATACACTGCCACGGACGGCCCTCCCTCGAACAATTGAGGGGGCAAGATTCTTGCCTCTCCTTTGAGGGGTCCTTTGCCTTTTCCTGCCACAGGAGGGACAACACTTGGTCCTGCTTCCGGCATAGGATTCTGAACAGCCTCAGTAGCAGGGGGCATCGTCTCGTTACCCGGTGGTGTGGCTTCTTTCGAGGGCACATCCGTTTTAGCTTTCTTGGATTTCGCCCTATCACCAACCTTCATGATCCTCTTCTTTTTCTTCTTCTGAGGCGCTGCAGTGATGGTTACATCCTTATCTGAATTCACAATAGTAAAAAAATCTTCGTCACCAAACAATCGAGAACCAGCGTTGCTTGACGACATGACCTAAAAACAGAGGGAAAAAGCAAATGATTAGTACCTTGGTTTTCTTCAACAGAGGTTTCGAGAAGAATTCTGGTTGAGGCCTCGACATTACCAGTATCATCTTCCTCGGTATATACAGGAGGCACATAATATTGTACGTCATTCCATTTAACGACCTTGGAATATTTCAGGATCTTCTCCACATCTGCCTTGAACTCCTCGATGCACTCTTCGTCCTCTTGGGTCCATTCATCCTTTATGGCCCCGAGACCCTCCACCTCTCGGAGATTCCACTACAGGCAATAGCTCTCGGATGCTCGTACGAACAAAAAATCCGGCTTCCATTCCGGAGAACCGCCATATGCCTCGACCATCTTTTTCACGCCGGATCTAAGGCGCCTTTTCACAATATACTAGTCTTGGAAAGAGGTCGAGGCCACAGCTACTTGGAAGAAATACCTCCACAGTATCAACCGAGGTATTACTTTTACATGTTGGCATATTCTTGCAAACTCCAGGACACACGTTATTAAATTTGGGGTGAAACGAGCAAGGGGAGTCCTATAGTGTTGCACAATCTCCTCAAACAGAGGGAAGAGGGGGAATCTAAGCCCTAGGTGCATAAATCGGTCACACACAGTAATACTTCCCTCTGGAGGAGAGTTGGCCCTTTCGTTTCCTAATAGGGCTCTTGCCTGTAGGATTGAAGGAAAGTCATATTTTGATCTAAGGTTCTCTACCTTATCGACAGAATCTATGGTGAATGCAAAGTCATCAACAGTTTTTCCTTTGGAATCCCTAACCATGGTTCCGGTACAAATCTACTCTGGCTACAGTTCGAAAAGACAAAAACTTGGAATGAAACCGGGGATTTAGATCTGAAAACTTACTGTCAGAGGAGGATGTGACCACTCGCCTTTCGAGCTGTAGCTTCCCAGCGTTCTTCCTGAATCTTGGTGGCAAATCCCCTGGAAATAACGTCGCCGGGGCAGTATGTAGGTGGAAGCCTGAATATTCCGGCAAGGGCGGTTGGAGCGCTCCGACGGAGAAGAGAATTTTGAGTTTTTACGAAGAAGGAAAAAGGATAAGTCACTAAGGAATAGTAGAGCATTCTCCTTAAAAACAAAAATTATTCTCCCACGTCTCCCTAATTACAGCAAACGATATGACAGTTAATGTGAATTTCAAGGGAATAATGATGGTGAGGCTGCCTTTTGGGGAATGTGCCCACTAATAACACGCGGTTGAAATTTTGGGCGGTATCCGGAAGTGGATCGCCTTCCCGGTCAAGATCTAACCCGCTAGTTACCCTCGGGTTTCCATGATCGAGAGTTGTGCGTTTGCATCGAAGATGCTCAACATATTGCTCGGTAATTAGCTGAACGAGGGTAGCCCGTCCACTCTCGGGTATGTCCCAGGTAACACTTACTTTGTGCCAAGCGTTGTTTATCTTTATGCAACTAACACTTGGCAGTGGCACTTGGCGAGTCCATATCTATCGCCGAGACTGGACTGGCCCATCAACCGGAGAGAGAGTCCAACTGGGACTCTCGAGGCGGTTTAGGTTCCCGAAACCTAATAGGATTCAGGGATGGTCCAGGTACTCTCAGACCTATAAATAGGGTTGCTCACACCACAATAGAGGTATGTGATCTATAGCTTAACATACTACATATCTAAGCCTTCCCGCAGCCCTTTACTGACTTAAGTATCAGAGTGTCTACCCTCGGGAGACCCCGAGACCCTGTTTTGCAAGAAACCCTAGCCGGAGTTCCACCGTTAGACCGGCGGCGCATAATCGAGCATCGTCAAGGATAATATATATTGATGGAAACAATGGAATCAAAGCGTGTTAAAGCATGATCATTAATATTATCACATTTCAAACAGTATCTCAAACTGAATTCTTTTTGCATGGAAACGGAGAGAAAGAACGAAACAAATTCTATTAATAATCTATACTAAAACTTGTAAAAAACTTCAAACACAACATGGAAATTTTTCTCTAGAACAGAGGGAGTATTTTTTTTTCAAAGGAAAAATAAGCAGAAAAATTAATAAACCCAGATTTTTTTTTAATTGGAAGAATTGACGTTCTAGTCTCATTTTTTGCCACATTCTAACCATTGGATTAATTTCAATAAACAAGAGAAACAGGTTCTTGAATGTTACCTATGGAGATATAACGAACACAACTTCATTTTAAGTGTTACGGTAAGCTTAAGTGCGTAAGTAAGGTTGAACTTTTTATCTTTTCTTTCTTTCCGTACATACAGACACGGCTAGGCGCGGCTGTAGGAACTCGATCATTAGGGCTGAAGGTGTAATTAGCATGCAAATGAAATTGATGCGGGCCTAAAAATTCAAATTTTGGTCGGACCTAAGTTTTGGCCGATTGGACTAAATCACAAAAACAAGAGCTCAAATCTCGAAATTAATATATGAATTTTTTATAGTTTGGGATGACATTATTTCAATAACTAAAAAATAAACCTTTCTTACCTTAAATCCGTCAAATCAGTTCAAAGATAAACACAACAGACAAAACCAGTTAATTACTAAACGTTATAAATCAAGTTTAATTTTTCACCTAATTCAAATGACCAAGTAATTGCTTTACAAATCATGTCTGAAGAGGTCTCAGGTTCAAACCGTGTCAGGAGCACTTTATGTGTTGACTATGCAGGCTTGTACTTAGGAGGCCAGAGGCACTTTCGGAAGTCAGCTTGCAGCTCAGGAGGGCGCGTAACAAAGGCGTGCACGCTTGGAGTCTCTCCCTTGTAATAGTATTCTCTTTCTCCAATAGACCCCACAAATGTAATAGTCTAGAATACCTATAATGGAATATAAAAAAAAATAAATGTCCGAACAAATGGAATTAATTTATAAATCCAATTGCGCGACTATACCTGCAATAAATGGCGATGGTGGGATAGAGATTGGATTCAAGCAAGAAGAGGGGATGTTGTTCACTTGTGTGCAAGAAATAGAAGTATATGAAAATTACTATTCTTTGGTTCCAAAAAATTACAGTCACATCGAGTTTTGATTAAAATTGAATGTAGATTTTTTTGGTTAGAGAGAGTATATCAGAACAAAATCACTATCTTTTATGACACTATAATTGACTGTTCCCAATCCAAATCATGTCCAGATCGTACTTTCTTCGAAAGAGACAAAAAATAAAAAAGAAAAGAAATAAAATATAGACTAATAGAGTAGAGGTCGTACTCCTTATAATTAGAAAATTCTGTCTACTAAAATTTCTCCGAAATAGTGATATTCAGATATTGATTTCCATACTCCGCCTGTACTTCACCAAGCTTCTTAACCAACCTACTTGTCCTTTCCGAACAATTCGCGACCTTGATCATTTGAAGCATTGGAATAGTATCGAAACTGTTGAAATTCTACTTCAAGAATAATAAACAATAATTATTGCACTAGATCAAAGAACAAAAGGAAAAATTTATGGTTAGGATAAAAGAAAGTTTTGTCTCCAAATCACAAGTAAACTTGCTTTCCTTTAGGCTAAATTCGCCCACTATACAATACAGTTGTCTAGGTAAATTCCCTATGAGATAAAATAGAGATTATGTTGTTTCACTATGCACTTTAGTGAACCAACAACTTGATACAAGGATAAGAAATGTCATTGGAAATATTCTAAGTATTTGGTGATTTCATTGTTCACTAAAAACATCCAAATGATCCATATTTGTAGAGTTTAGGTATCTCTTGAGAATTAGACATAACCCTTGGTTATAGTCATAAATATAATTTTTCGTTAATGTCTTTTCATATGGAGTCAATAGGCACAACTTATTAATTGTGTCCCTGCAATATATTGGAAGCCAATAATATACACAACTTATTAGTTGTGTCCTTACAATATATTGAAAATATCTCCAACAGAAACAAGAAGGCATCTCTTCCAAATCCAAGCAGCATCGAAGTACCAACTTCTCCAAGCACCCAAATTGATTTTCAGAACCAATCCACCAACCAAGAGAAGAGGAATACAACTTGAGGATTCTAAGTTTGGAAAACTTCCCTTCTTCCATTCTCCATGTGTTATCTCTGAATTCTACCCAAATTGGCAGTCTACCGATGCTCGAAAGACACCACCCACACAATTCAAATCGATGCAGTGTCAATTGCTTAAGATTTGTTGGCCGACTAAACTCAACCATTGGTACGGATGGTCGGTCTTGGTATACATAAAGTGATTCTATTTGACTCGAAATGTCAAAAACTAAAGTATGGGGAAGAGTTTCTTCATGAGTAACTAATCTGCAAAGCTTAATTCTTGTTTGTTTGTCGTTTCATTTTACTTTTTATTTCATTTTACTTCTTAAACATAAATTCTAATACATTATCCAAACATCAATTTAATTTACCTTTTAACTATTGTAAAGTTTAGTATTGATGGTCACTAAATTATTTTAAAGTTTTAAATTTAGTCACTAAATTATTTTAAAATTTAGTGGCGGTGGTCACTAAATTATTGTAAAGTTTTTAGTTTGGTCACTAAACTATTGTAAAGTTTTAAGTCTGGTCACTATACTATCACACTTTCAAAAAATGGTCACTATACTATAATACTTTCCAAAAATTGTCACTAAACTACATTTTAAATCTTCTCCCAAATCCAAATAAAAAACTAAAACAAAACGTTGTCCAAACATCAGCTTAAATTTCAACTCACGGACATTTGGAAACTTTTCAAGTACTCTTTCCAAGGCATCATGCGGAATGGCCACTCCAAAAATGCTATCCAACCCGTACAAATCAGATGAATTGCCAAGATTTGTCACGGGCAATCTAAAACCCATATCACATGTAAATGCTTTACTGGATAGGAAAAAATGCTTTATTCTTTGCAGATTCCAGAAACTATCAGGTAAGGGTAAGTTAAATCCTTCATCCACATATATTATTAAAGTTTCTAAACGAGACAGGTTGCCTATGGATGCTGGTATCTCCCACACATAGCCTCCAATTGTAAGGTAGACCAACCGGAGAAGCTGCCCTATTTCACTCGGAATACCATCATCTAAATGAATCTGTTCCAAATCCAGCACTCTTAGTAGTTTGCAACTGCATCATTGGCGAGAAATTTTGTGTTACCCGGTATTCAGAGTATTTGAAACGCAAAGAACCTACATGAGGGCAAAATAATTTTGACTCAACGAAGTCCTTTGCGCCAGAGTGAATGCATAACCTCCGTAGATACCATGGCTCGTTGAATGCTGACAATTCATTGTACCCTCCACCTCCTAGGAAATGGAAAAAATGTTCCTCTTTGGCTTTCTGAGAACAAAATTCATACAACAAGTCATGAATGCGGCACCTTTTCACTCTGCCCATGGATGTCTGTTTGGCAACCATGAGTAAGCTTCTTCTAATTAAATCAGTCAGATAGTCTCCAGCAACATCTGACAGGCGTTTCATGTCGACTTTCCGCACGAACCCTTCAGCCATCCATAATGAAAGCAACCTCTCTTGACTGAGACCTTTTGATCTTCTTGAAACGTCGCAAAATACAAAAGACATGGCTTTAAATGCTGGGATAGATGTCTATAACTGAGCTCCAGTGTATCCCTCCACCTTTCTGATAAATTGCCAAACCTTCAACTTTCTATCATTGTCTTCCTATCCTTTAGCTCCGTGGATCTTAAAATTCCAGCTACAATGACGATTGTAAGAGGCGCCATTACATATCTCAACAATTTTTGTGGCAAGGTCACCCAATCAGGGGGCCAACCATTCTGGCCAAATAACTGCCTTTGCAATAAGTCTATACTCTCTTTCTCACTGAGAAGTCTCAGTTCAAAAGGCTTTTCATCAAGCATACCTGGAGGAGCAACGTCGTGACGACGACTTGTAAAAATGATTCTACTCCCCTTGGAATCATCAGGGAATGATGCTTGCAACTTTTGCCAGGCTTTAGCTTCCCAAATATCATCCAAAACAATGAGAAATCGCTTTCCTTTTAAACTGCGCCTTAACTGCTCGGCTACATCATCTGCAGATGTCTCAGAAGTGATCTTGGAATATCTTTGAGGATCAACTTGTTTCAACAGGTCCATTAGATCTCTCTTTTTATCAAATACTTGAGCAACCATAGTGAAGGCACGAACACAAAAATGGTATGAGACAGAAGGATCGTTGTACACTTTTACAGCCAAAGTAGTCTTGCCTATGCCCGGCATACCAACAATTGCCACGATCCGCAAGCTCTTTGATTTCCTCTTGAGGCGATCAACTATTGAGTTTGTCTGATCCTGAAAGCCAACAACTTCGTTTGTCACTGAGGGAATAGCTGATTGCACGTGACTCTGAGCCGGCATTACTTTCTTAATTTTGATTTTTGGTTTCTTCATCACTTTGATTTTAGACTTAATATTGGTGATATCTTTCATGATAGAAAAAAATATTTCTGAAAAGAAATCTGGGAGATCACCAACAAGTAGGCAGTTCATGAAATCCTCCACCCTGTAAGCGACCTCCAAAACCTGGCCCCTGAGAGCTTGGAGATTCTCCTGATCATTTGGCAACGTGGCAGTGCCCTCCAAGAAAGATCTCAAGCAGAGGATTTCTTCTTGAATAGTTTGAGCACATGTCTTAGTAGTTGGTTCATCATTGTTTCCTGCCAGCTCCATCAGTTTTTTTGATAAAAAGTCGAAAAAGCCAACAGGGTAGTGCTCTGAGAGTTGAATGTTGGTATTGGCGCATCTTTTTGTCCAAGTTCTGCCAAAATATTCTTGATTGTTTCTTGCAGTTCCTGACTAAGACTAAGGTCTATTTCCACATGGGTGTGCTGGAATGAGCAAATCATGATTCCGGCATCACATACCACAGTAACCATGTCCTCAATTTTATTAGGATGAAGTTTGTTTAGCAGTTGCTCGAGAATCATTTCTCTCAAAGATTTGAGTCCATATAACTCTTGATGTTGATCCTTGATAAAAAATACAGCACGAGCAAATCGTGCGACCTCTTTATAAAGGATGGATATGAGAGAAGAAAGGAGATTCCGCGTTGCAACAAGTGTATCAGCATCAGTACCTTGATCAGCGAGAGCGCAAGTAATCTTGCCGCCAACTTTGAGCTACTCTGTACTCAGTGCTTCAGTGTAAGTGTTGTGGACCTGAGGATGAATAGGCTTGATCTTTTGCATCGATCTTGAAATCTCCAACACCTTTTCTTCTACAAATCTTTCAGGTAACACAAGCCTTTTATACTTTACTCTGTCAACTGTGATCTCGAAAACACCATCGTCGAAAAAGAGAAATGTAGCATCAATTGCTACAGCACCAGCATGAGCCGAATTTACATGTGAAAATGAAAGTAAACAAGAATACTTCATGGAACAAAAAACACATTTGATTTGCTCAGTCCGACAAAATTTCACTGGAATGGACGCACTGTTAGATACTATATTACTATGAGTAAAATATTGAACATCGGATATGCTAATTTTAGGAATCCATTTTGCAGTAATGATAATTTGTACTAAGATACTTACATACATAAATATTACACTAGATGAAGACACATAAACACAAGGGTAGATTCTGATTTATCCTTTACCATGTGAAAAAAGCTCTTTATCTAAACGAATGTTTTCCCGGATTCAAGATGACTAAGAGATGTCAGAAATAATCTTAATATCAGAATTTCCATAATCAACCTGTTGTTCCCCAATCTTCTTCAGCAACCTTGCCATTGTTAGAGAACAAGAAGTGGCCTTGATTGTTTGAAGCATCTGAATGGTTTTCAAACAAGACGGGATCTTTTCCAAATGGTAGCAACTGAAAAGTTCCAACTTCTCAAGACACCCCAGTTGATCATCAGAACCACTCCACCGTTGAAGCTCCCAACACCAAAACAATTTCAAGATTCGAAGTTTGGAGAATTGCTTGTCTTCCATTCTCCATCTGTTCCCTTGAAATTTCACACCGTGTAATTTAAGGTATTCGAGGTTTGGCAGTTTACCAATGCTCGAAAGCATACTGCCAGAGAACTTAAATTGACGCAAAGACAATCTCTTCAGGGTTGTCGGGAAGCTAAACTCAACCTTAAGCTTGTCAGATTTCTCATGGTAGACATCAAGTGATTCCAGTTGGTTCAAAGCCTCAGGAACTACAACACGGGCAAGAGTACTCGAATCATCTGGAAATCCGCAGAGATTCAGCCCCAACTTACGAAGATTTGGAAACTTTTTCAGTACTCTTTCCACGCCATCACAAGGAATGGGCACACCATCCATACTTTCTAACTCGCATAAATCAGGCGAGTTGTTGATATTCGCCAGGGGCCACCAAACATCCATATTTCTTGAACTTAATTGGTCTTTGGTGGACAGGGAAAAATGCTTCAGTTTACGCAAATTCCAGAAACTCTCTGGCGGCGGTGTCCTGTCGACTCCATCAACCTTTATGATTAAAGTTTCTAAATTCAAAAGGTTACCTATCCATGAAGGGATCTCCCACATAAAGCCTCCGATTGCAAGGTACGCCAACCGGACAAGCTGCCCTATTTCGCTCGGAATCCAGCCATCTAAATAAACTTGCTCCAAATCCAACACTCGAAGGCGTTTGCAGATGTGCATCATTAACGTGAAACTTTGCGACACTCGATCTTCCGAGTACATGAAACGCAGAGAACGTACACGTGGACAGAATACCTCTGACTGAATGAAGTCCTCTGCACCGGAGTGAATGCATAACCTCTGCAGATACCCTGGCTCGTTGAATCCTGACAATTCTTCCCAATCTCCTTCGAGGAAATGGAAAAACTGCTCCTCTTTGGATTTCTGCAAACAAAATTCATGGAGCAAGTCATGAATGCGACACCTTTTCACTCGGCCCATGGATGTTTTTTTAGAAACCATAAGCAAGCTTCTTCCAATCAAATCATATAGATACTCTTGAGCAACATCTGATAGGCGCTTCATCTCAGCTTTCCGTACAAATCCTTCAGCCATCCATAACGAAAGCAACCTCCTGACCGAGAGCTGTTGATCTTCTTGAAACGTCGCAAAATACAGAAGGCATGGCTTCAAATGCTCAGGTAGATGTTTATAACTCAGCTCCAGTGTATCCCTGCAGCGGTCTGATATATCGCCAGAGCTTAAACCATCCATGATTTTCTTCCAATCCTCTGGCTTCGAGGATTTTAAAACTCCAGCTACAATGAGGATTGTCAGAGGCAATCCGTTGCATATTTCAACAATTTCCTTCCCAAGCTCACCTAATTCAGGGGGCCAACCATCTTTACCGAATAACTGCCTCTGCAATAAATCCAGGCTCTCTTCCTCATTGAGGAATCTCAGCTCAAAAACTTTCTCATCGAGCATATGTGGAGGAACGATATCATGTCTGCGACTTGTAACCATGATTCTACTCCCTTTGGAATCATCAGGGAACGATCTTTGTAACTCTTGCCAGGCTTTAATGTCCCATATGTCATCCAAAACGATGAGATACGGCTTTCCTTTTAAACTGCGCCATAGTTGCTCAGCTACATCTTCGGCATTTGCATCCGAAACAATCTGGGAATATTTTTCAAGATCAACTTGTTTTAGCAGGTGAAGTAGCACTCCCTTTTTGTCAAATGACTGGGAAACAGTAGTAAAGGCACGAACAGAGAAATGGTACGAGACTGAAGGATCATCGTAAACTTTTTCGGCAATAGTGGTCTTGCCTAGACCCGGCATACCCACAATTGCCACGATCCGCAATTGCCTTGATCCTCTCTTGAGGCGACTGATTAGCGAGTTTGCCGGATCATGAAAGCCAACAATTTCCTTTGTCATCAAGGGAGTAGTTGATTGCACATTACTGTGAATCGCCGTTACTTTCTTCAGTTCGATTTCTGGTCTCTTCAAGACTTTGATCTCCGACTTAATGTTGCTAATGGTTTTCATGATTGAAACAATTGATTCTGAATCAGAACCTGGGAGATTGCCAAGCAATAGGTACTCTGTGAGGTCCTCTATCCTGTTTGCCACCTCCAAAATACTACCCCTGAGAGCTTGGAGTTCCTCCTGATGATCATTTGGCAACTCCACAGTTTCCTCCATGAAAGATCTGAAGAAGACAAGTTCTTCTTGGATGGTTTGAGCAAAATTCTTGGCAGTTGGTTCATCATTGTTGCTTGTCAGCTCCATCAGCTTTTCTATTAAAAAGTCGACGAAGGCCAGCTGAGTAGTGCTTCGTGAGTTGAAGAACATTGCTACTTGTGCATCATTCTTCCCAAGGCTTGCCAAAACAATCATTTTGATTGCTTCTGACAATTCCTTCACGAGACTAAGATCTGTCTCCACATGTTTCATTTGGAATGAGCAAATGAAGACTCCAGCATCACATATCACATTAACAATGTCTTCCCTCATTTTGGAATCAAGTTTTTCGGGGTGCTTGAGTATCACTTTTCTTAAAGACCTGAGTCCTTCATAGAGCTTTTGCAGTTGATCCTTGATGGGAAACATAACACTGGAACTCTGCGCCAGCTCCTCGTAAAAAACAGATACGAGAGAAGAAAGGAGATTGCTGGTTGCAGTAAGGGATTCATCATCTTCTTTACCTTGATCAGGAGGAACAAGTAATTTTTCCCCAAACTTCGAGCTGATCAGTGCTTCAGTGTAAGTCTTATGGACCTGAGGATGAATAGGCTTGATCTTTTGTATCAATCTTGAAAACTCCAACACCTTGTTTTCTGCAAAGCTTTCACGTAACACAAGTCTTGATAGATTTCGCTTGGAAACTCCATCATCGAAAAGAAGAAACGCAGCATCAATAGTGACAGCTCTAGCATGAGCCAACAAATCTTCCTGGTCTTCAACATTTATCTGTATGACAAACTCGATGAGACTTTGCAAGAATGCCAACTGCTGTCGCAAGGCTTCAATTGCATCACGCAGTTCGCAAGGGACACCCCTTCGCAAATCCTGATAATTCTCTAGATTCTCCAGGGAGAAACTAATGAATTCCAGGATTTGGTTTACAGGAAAAGAAATCGATTGGCGCGGGACATCTAGGAGTGGAGTGTGCAATCTTTTAGCAAGCGTAAGAAGATACCTACAGTATTCCAGTACGTCATCGCCGTAATAACGTACGCTATTAGGATCAAAAGTTGGAATAAACTCTGCGATTTTGCGAACATAATCTTCAGTCTTTACCAAAGATGATGGACTTAAGTCGATGCCCAACATTTTGGCGCAGAGAAGAACCATCTTGAGGTTTCCCAATCTAAATTTCAGTAGCTTATAAGAGATTTCAGCCGTATCACCAGAAGCGGAGGTGCCTTCTATTAGCAAATCTACCTCATGTGAGGCAGAATGAATACAGTCAATGAGGGTGGACACCATCTTCTTGTTTGGGATGGATTAGCAGCAGCAAAGGAAACTAGAAGAAAGCCAAATAAAAGGGAGAAGGGGTTTGCTATGTTATAAGGAACGCAATCTGATTTGGAAATCGAAGGAAAGAGAAGAAGGATTTGGATGGAGAATGAAACAAAAAAAGTTCAAGAAAAGGGTTGGGAAGATGATGATCAAAAGGGAACAATGCTGATGAAGAAAGTGAACAAAAAGACAATTAACTACTCATATTTAAACAAATTGATAAGTGAAGGAGACTGTAATGGCCTTTTCGTCTGCCTCGGAGTGATGTAATTACAATATAACTGATTAAATCAACAATATGCTCCGTCATCTCAGAAAATTATTTCGCTTTCTTTTTATTGTTTTCGTTCGATAAAGTGGACTTTTTTCTTAGAGTAAAGGTGTGCTCAACATGAAATTAATCTGGTTGGGAAAGTCAATCTTGGCGTGCTAAAATCATAAATTAACGATGCAAGCAAAGCTGATTGATCGCGGCCACTTCTGATTTTTTAAGATTAAACAAACAAATTGATGAAATTAATGAACTGGTAACAACTATACCTCAAAATTAATTAATGCTTTAATTTTATTATCCTGCTATTACGATTTACATAATAAAATACGACTAAGTACCCTACAGATAATGAGCTGGTCAGAAGAAAACAAAACAAATTAGCATTTCTTAAAACTAATGACCCAACTAATCACATGATCACGTGTTGGGAAATTGAAAACTGCAGAGGTTGACTTTTTGTTTGTTCACTTTCAAGTTTCAATGTTTCCTTGATATCAATAAGCAAAGCAGTGGAAGCCGACACATGGTTACACAAGCTAGTTTCCAACTAAACCAAAAAGTATTCTTCTTGGGTTTTCCCTCCGTCCAACTTTAATAATCAGTGTACTCCTTGTAGTTCATCAAAACGAAGAACAAAGAGTTGTTAGGAAATTAATAGAGAACATGAGTTTCGAATTTGGGCATCTAACTTACAGAGAAATGTTGAACACGAGATTTCTTGGCTCATGCTGAAGCTGTTGCTACTGATTTTGTAATTACAAGTAACTGTAAACGTTATATATACATCTGAAAAGAGCAAAAAATGAATATCCGATCAAGCAACTCCAAAATGAATTACTCCTTCATATTATGGTTCCGATCAATTATTAGGACTACCCTTCGAAGCAATACATTACCGGTAAAGAAGAGAAGGCTCACAGTCCAACTCTAATACTGCTTACATTGAATGATTAGGAGTCTTGAAGTGATAAGGAGGCTGCTGATCATCATCAATCAGAACAACCTTTATGAGAATATTATTTGTTTATCTACTGCTTACATTGAATGATTAGGAGTCTTGAAGTGATAAGGAGGCTGCTGATCATCATCAATCAGAACAACCTTTATGAGAATATTATTTTTTTGATAAACAGTAATTAGATTTAGCTTTATGCCTTTAGTCTAGAGTTTATAAATATAGACTCCATATTGTAATGTTTATTGAGAAAAAATAAAGTGATGTAGTCTTTCAACAATTTAGTTTATGTTTACTTTTATTTTTAATAAATTCAATACCAATTTTCTTCTTAGTATCAAAACAGGTTCTATCCTGCGTCTGTTATTTTTTTCTTCTACGTATTTTTCTTCTTTATTTGAATAATACTACACCTTTGTCCATCAAGCTTCCGTATCTTTGTTCATCAATGTTAGAACACAGCAACACCTTAAACGATAATTCTATATTCACATATCTATTTACTCCTTGGAATATTGAATAGAAGAATATCTATAAATCCACAGTCAACACATTTTTTTTTCAATTATATTATATGTTTACATCAATGGAACTGATAGTCTAATCGAAGCATTGGAATTGTCATTTGATGCAACGGACATAATACCTGTGAAAAAAATACTAACCTGTAAAATTGAATCTATCAAATTCTTCAAACTTGGAAGTCTCTAAAGGTTGATAGTCGTAAAGCTCAAGTCGAAGGAAACACCATGGTGACTCGGTTGCTTTGTATTGTTTTCATCATTAAAATGATGTTCAAGAGATCCAAGACCATGATCTTTTTCTTCAGGCAGAGTGATCGATTTACGTCTGCACATTGACACCAACAACTAAAATTACTGAAAATCAGAACTAAAAAAAAAAGTTCAAGAAAAAATAAGCATTGAAGACATTAGCAAATGAATGATATTGATTTAGGTCTCCACATTCAAGGAACAGAATGGTTTCCCTTTTTGATTTATTTACCCGCACATTAGCTTGATATGATGCATCATAACTGCATGTGCCCCAAAACTGATCATCGTACCTCAACCCCAATGCAACATAAACAGGATATTTTGACCTTATTGGCATAAAATTTTCAAAAAGAAAATCAGTCCACATATCCTACTCGACATATTAAGTTATAAAAATACAAATAAGAACGTATTATTGTACCAAAATAGTCACGTTAATTTTGTTTTGTTGAATTTCGACTAGTGTGTTTAATGAAGATTTCCTTAATCACTAAACTCAGTTCAAGATTGAGTTGTTAGGAGGTTCCAACAACGAAAACTAATTTGCCTATAAGTGATTGAGTATATCATTGCATCTATGATCAAATGTCTAGACCAAGGTGGATATAAAATCTTTTGACTAGAAACTTTCTCATAATTTTCTTTCATTTTTTTTACTATCATTTGAATTTTATTTTAACTACGTTTTAGTTTTAAAAAAAAACTCAAAACCCCCCTTTCGGTTACTTATTTGAAAGAAACGAATCCACCATTCCCTGAGGAGACGACCTTGCTTTCCTATGCTACTAGTTTGAAAGTAGGTTAAATTGTTTGTTGGCTTGACTCACCACCATGTGTTGTGTGTAACCATGAAGTCGAAGAACCTAACCATGTGTATAATAGGTGGTTGTTAGGAATTAACCTCGTCGCCTAATTTTTCTTTTAAACTAGGATCTTTCCCGTGCGTTGCACGGAACATGTTAAAATGTACACTAATTTAATTATTAATGATAAAAATATGTCGTGTACTTGATTAATGGTTGATTGAGAAATAGAATCTAAAAAAAATACGTAATACAAAAGAATGAGCCAACAGTAAAAAGTGAGTTTTAAAACATGGTGAAAATTAAGTGATATTTAGATTATTATAATTTAAATTTTCTTGAATTTGAATATAAAAGAAATGTTTCACATAATTTTTTTTAATAATTTTACCCGTGACATTTCAACTACTTTTTAATGAAATTGACATTAGACTGATTGGATTTAAATATAAGAAAAATGTTTTATTTGGTTTTTTTTTTCTCGTGATTTTAGCCGTGAAGTTTTAATATTTTTAAATGAGATTGACATTAGATCTTAAGACAAAATGAATTTTCTATTAAGACAAAATGGTACATTTTAAGCGGGACTATGTATGCATATTACAATATATGTAGCAGTAGTAGGAATTACTCCCTCCATTCCAAAATAAGTGTCGTTTTAGCAAAATGAAGAAATTTCAAATAAGTGTCGTTCTCACATTTCAATGCATTTTTTATCTAAAGTTTCCCAAATTACCCTCAAAAGAATTACTACTATTGGTGGACATTTTTTTAGTGGGGTTGGTTGAGAATATTTAAGTAATTTTATTACCTTATTTAAGAGTTTCTTAAATTATGTGCAAAGTGTAGGATGACACTTATTTTGGAATGGAGGGAGTATTACGTACATTTAATTTTAAGGGATGAAATTAACGTGTGTATTTATGAATAAGCAAGGTAGAAACATTAATTTCGTGAAATTAGGAAGAATTAATGCTAGATTTCTCGTTAGGTTAAAAGGGACTTTTCTTTTTTTTTTTTTCTTTTTCCAGAAATGGTGTTATGTTTTCGGAGGGAAAACAATGCACAAGAGTGCGGCACCTCATCAAAAATCTTCTCTTGGACAGTTATTTTAATAGGATAATATATATTGATGGAAACAATGGAATCAAAGCGTGTTAAAGCATGATCATTAATATTATCACACATCAAACAGTATCTAAAACTGAATTCTTTTTGCATGGAAACGGAGAGAAAGAACGAAACAAATTCTGTTTTAGTAACAGTACATATCTGTACTAAAACTTGTAAAAAACTTCAAACACAACATGGAAATTTTTCTCTTTTAAGAACAAAGCGAGTATTTTTTTTTTTTTTTCAAAGGAAACATAAGCAGAAAAATTAATAAACCCAGAGTTTTTTTTTAAATTGGAAGAATTGACGTTCTAGTCTCATTTTTTTGCCACATTCTGACCATTGGATTAATTTCAATAAACAAGAGAAACAGGTTCTCGAATGTTACCTATGGAGATATAACTAACACAACCTCATTTTAAAGTGTTACTGTAAGCTTAAGTGCGTAAGTAAGGTTGAACCAATTCATCTTTTCTTTCTTTTCGTACATACAGACACGGCTGGGCGCGGCTGTAGTAACTCAATCATTAGGGCTGAAGGTCTAATTAGCATGCAAATGAAATTCATGCGGGCCTAAGTTAAATTAAAAAAATTCAGATTTTGGTCGGACCTAAGTTTTGGCCGATTGGACTAAATCACAAAAAAGAGCTCAAATCTCGAAATTAATATATGAATTTTTCATAGTTTGGGATGACATTATTTTAATAATTAAAAAATAAACCTTTCTTACTTTAAATCCATCAAATCAGTTCAAAGACAAACACAACAAACAAAACCAGTTAATTACTAAACGTTATAAATCAAGTTTATTTTTTGACCTAATTCAAGTGACCAAGTAATTGCTTTACATATCATGTCCGAAGAGGTCTCAGGTTCAAACTCTATCAGGAGCACTTGTGTTGTCTATGCAGGCTTGTAGCTAGGAGGCCAAAGGTAGTTCCGGAAGTCAGCTTGCAGCTCAGGAGGGCGCGTAACAGAGGCGTGCACGCGTAGAGTCTCTTCCTAGTAGTATTTTCTTCCCCCAATAGACCCCACAAATGTAATAGCTTAGAATACCTATAATGAAATATATAAAAAAATAAATGTCCGAGCAAATGGAGTTCATTTATAAATCCAATTGCGCGACTATACCTGCAATAAATGGCGATGGTGGGATAGAGATTGGATTCAAGCAAGAAGAGGGGATGTTGTTCACTTGTGTGGAAGAAATAGAAGTACATGAAAATTACTATTCTTTGGTTCCAAAAAATTAGAGTAACATCGAGTTTTGATTAAAATTGAATGTAGATTGTTTTTTGGTCGGAGAGAAAGTATATGAGAACAAAATCACTATCTTTTATGACACTATAATTGACTGTTCCCAATCCAAATCATGTCCAAGATCGTACTTTCTTCGAAAGAGACAAAAAATAAAAAAGAAAAGAAATAAAAAATAGACTAATAGAGTAGAGGTCGTACTCCTTATAATTAGAAAATTCTGTCTACTAAAATTTCTCCAAAATAGTGATATTCAGATGTTGATTTCCATACTGCCCATGTACTTCACCAATCTTCTTAACCAACCTACTTGTCCTTTCCGAACAATTCACGACCTTGATCATTTGAAGGATTGGAATAGTATCGAAACTGTTGGAATTCTACTTCAAGAATAGTAAACACCAATTGCTGTACTAAATCAAAGAATAAGAGGAAAAATTTATGGTTAGGATAAAAAAAAGTTTTGTCTCCAAATCACAAGTAAACTTGCTTTCCTTTAGGCTAAATTCGTTCACTATACAATGCAGTTGTTTAGGCGAATTCCTTATGAGATAAAATGGAGATCATGTTGTTTCACTATGCACTTAGTGAACCAGTAACTTGATACAAGGATAAGAAATGTCGTTGGAAATATTATGATTATTTGGTGATTTCATTGTTCACTAAAAGCATTCAAATTATCTATATTTATAGAGTTTAGATATCTCTTAAGGATTGGACATAACCCAAAGGGTTATGGTCATAAACTAAAACGTTCTATCATGCGGAATGGCCACGGACATTTGGAAAATTTTCAAGTACTCTTTCTAAGGCATCATGCGGAATGGCCACTCCAGAAATCCTATCCAACTCATACAAATCAGATGAATTGCCAAGATTTGTCACGGGCTATCTAAAACCCATATCACATGTAAATGCTTTACTGGATAGGAAAAAATGCTTTATTCTTTGCAGATTCCAGAAACTATCAGGTAAGGGTAAGTTAAGTCCTTCATCCACATATATTATTAAAGTTTCTAAACGAGACAGGTTGCCTATGGATGCTGGTATCTCCCACACATAGCCTCCAATTGTAAGGTAGACCAACCGGACAAGCTGCCCTATTTCACTCGGAATACCATCATCTAAATGAATCTGTTCCAAATCCAGCACTCTTTAGTAGTTTGCACAACTGCATCATTGGCGAGAAATTTTGTGTTACCCGGTATTCAGAGTATTTGAAACGCAAAGAACCTACATGAGGGCAAAATAATTTTGACTCAACGAAGTCCTTTGCGCCAGAGTGAATGCATAACCTCCGTAGATACCATGGCTCGTTGAATGCTGACAATTCATTGTACCCTCCACCTCCTAGGAAATGGAAAAAATGTTCCTCTTTGGCTTTCTGAGAACAAAATTCATACAACAAGTCATGAATGCGGCACCTTTTCACTCTGCCCATGGATGTCTGTTTGGCAACCATGAGTAAGCTTCTTCTAATTAAATCAGTCAGATAGTCTCCAGCAACATCTGACAGGCGTTTCATGTCGACTTTCCGCACGAACCCTTCAGCCATCCATAATGAAAGCAACCTCTTGACTGGGACCTTTTGATCTTCTTGAAACGTCGCAAAATACAAAAGACATGGCTTTAAATGCTGGGATAGATGTCTATAACTGAGCTCCAGTGTATCCCTCCACCTTTCTGATAAATTGCCAAACCTTGAACTTTCTATGATTGTCTTCCAATCCTTTAGCTCCGTGGATCTTAAAATTCCAGCTACAATGACGATTGGAAGAGGCAAGCCATTACATATCTCAACAATTTTTGTGGCAAGGTCACCCAATTCAGGGGGCCAACCATTCTGGCCAAATAACTGCCTTTGCAATAAGTCTATACTCTTTTTCTCACTGAAGTCTCAGTTCAAAAGGCTTTTCATCAAGCATACTTGGAGGAGCAACGTCGTGACGACGACTTGTAAAAATGATTCTACTCCCCTTGGAATCATCAGGGAATGATGCTTGCAACTTTTGCCAGGCTTTAGCTTCCCAAATATCATCCAAAACAATGAGAACTCGCTTTCCTTGAGCAACCGTAGTGAAGGCACGAACACAAAAATGGTATGAGACAGAAGGATCGTTGTACACTTTTACAGCCAAAGTAGTCTTGCTTATGCCCGGCATACCAACAATTGCCACGATCCGCAAGCTCTTTGATTTCCTCTTGAGGCGATCAACTATTGAGTTTGTCAGATCCTGAAAGCCAACAACTTCGTTTGTCACTGAGGGAATAGCTGATTGCACGTGACTCTGAGCCGGCATTACTTTCTTAATTTTGATTTTTGGTTTCTTCATCACTTTGATTTCAGACTTAATATTGGTGATATCTTTCATGATAGAAAAAAATATTTCTGAAAAGCTAAGATACTTACATACATAAATATTACACTGGATGAAGACACATAAACACAAGGGTAGATTCTGATTTATCCTTTACCATGCGAAAAAAAGCTCTTTATCTAAACGAATGTTTTCCCGGATTTAAGATGACCAAGAGATGTCAGAAATGGTAATCTTCATATCAGAATTTCCATAATCAACCTGTTGTTCCCCAATCTTCTTCAGCAACCATGCCATTGTTCGAGAACAAGAAGTGGCCTTGATTGTTTGAAGCATCGGAATGGTTTCCAAACAAGACGGCATCTCTTTCAAATTGTAGCATCGGTGAAGTTCCAACTTCTCAAGACACCCCAATTGATCATCAGAACCACTCCACTGATGAAGCTCACACCAAAACAATTTCAAGATTCGAAGTTTGGAGAATTGCTCGTCTTCCATTATCCATGTGTTCCCTTCAAATTGCACACTGTCTAATTTAAGGTATTCGAGGTTTGGCAGTTTACCAATGCTCGAAAGCATACTGCCAGAGAACTTAAATTGACGCAAAGACAATCTCTTCAGGTTTGTCGGGAAGCTAAACTCAACCTTAAGCTCGTAAGATTTCTCATGGTAGACATCAAGTGATTCCAGTTGGTTCAAAGCCTCAGGAACTACAACACGGGCAAGAGTACTCGAATCATCTGGAAATCCGCAGAGATTCAGCCCCAACTTACGAAGATTTGGGAACTTTTTCAGTACTCTTTCCACGCCATCACAAGGAATGGCCACACCAGCCATACTTTCTAACTCGCATAAATCAGGCGAGTTGTCGATATTCGCCAGGGGCCACCAAACATCCATATTTCTTGAACTTGTTTTGTCATGGCTGGACAGGGAAAAATGCTTCAGTTTACGCAAATTCCAGAAACTCTCTGGCGGCGGTGTCCTGTCGACTCCATCAACCTTTATGATTAAAGTTTCTAAATTCAAAAGGTTACCTATCCATGAAGGGATCTCCCACATAAAGCCTCCGATTGCAAGGTACGCCAACCGGACAAGCTGCCCTATTTCGCTTGGAATCCAGCCATCTAAATAAACTTGCTCCAAATCCAACACTCGAAGGCGTTTGCAGATGTGCATCATTAACGTGAAACTTTGCGACACTCGATCTTCCGAGTATCTGAAACGCAGAGAACGTACACGTGGACAGAATACCTCTGACTGAATGAAGTCCTCTGCAACGGAGTGAATGCATAACCTCTGCAGATACCCTGGCTCGTTGAATCCTGACAATTCTTCGCAATCTCCTTCGAGGAAATGGAAAAACTGCTCCTCTTTGGATTTCTGCAAACAAAATTCATGAAGCAAGTCATGAATGCGACACCTTTTCACTTGGCCCATGGATGTTTTTTTAGAAACCATAAGCAAGCTTCTTCCAATCAAATCATATAGATACTCTTGAGCAACATCTGATAGGCGCTTCATCTCAGCTTTCCGTACAAATCCTTCAGCCATCCATAACGAAAGCAACCTCCTGACCGAGAGCTGTTGATCTTCTTGAAACGTCGCAAAATACAGAAGGCATGGCTTCAAATGCTCAGGTAGATGTTTATAACTCAGCTCCAGTGTATCCCTGCAGCGGTCTGATATATCGCCAGAGCTTAAACCATCCGTGATTTTTTTCCAATCCTCTGGCTTCGAGGATTTTAAAACTCCAGCTACAATAAGGATTGTCAGAGGCAATCCGTTGCATATTTCAACAATTTCCTTCCCAAGCTCACCTAATTCAGGGGGCCAACCATCTTTACCGAATAACTGCCTCTGCAATAAATCCAGGCTCTCTTCCTCATTGAGTAATCTCAGCTCAAAAACTTTCTCATCGAGCATATCTGGAGGAACGATATCATGTCTGCGACTTGTAACCATGATTCTACTCCCTTTGGAATCATCAGGGAACGATCTTTGTAACTCTTGCCAGGCTTTAATGTCCCATATGTCATCCAAAACGATGAGATACGGCTTTCCTTTTAAACTGCGCCATAGTTGCTCAGCTACATCTTCGGCATTTGCATCCGAAACAATCTGGGAATATTTTTCAAGATCAACTTGTTTTAGCAGGTGAAGTAGCACTCCCTTTTTGTCAAATGACTGGGAAACCGTAGTAAAGGCACGAACAGAGAAATGGTACGAGACTGAAGGATCATTGTAAACTTTTTCCGCAATAGTGGTCTTGCCTAGACCCGGCATACCCACAATTGCCACGATCCGCAATTGCCTTGATCCTCTCTTGAGGCGACTGATTAGCGAGTTTGCCCGATCATGAAAGCCAACAATTTCCTTTGTCATCAAGGGAGTAGTTGATTGCACATTACTGTGAATCGCCGTTACTTTCTTCAGTTCGATTTCTGGTCTCTTCAAGACTTCGATCTCCGACTTAATGTTGCTAATGGTTTTCATGATTGAAACAATTGATTCTGAATCAGAACCTGGGAGATTGCCAAGCAATAGGTACTCTATGAGGTCCTCTATCCTGTTTGCCACCTCCAAAATACTACCCCTGAGAGCTTGGAGTTCCTCCTGATGATCATTTGGCAACTCCACAGTTTCCTCCAGGAAAGATCTGAAGAAGACAAGTTCTTCTTGGATGGTTTGAGCAAAATTCTTGGCAGTTGGTTCATCATTGTTTCTTGTCAGCTCCATCAGCTTTTCTATTAAAAAGTCGACGAAGGCCAACTGAGTAGTGCTTCGTGAGTTGAAGAACATTGCTACTTGTGCATCATTCTTCCCAAGGCTTGCCAAAACAATCATTTTGATTGCTTCTGACAATTCCTTCACGAGACTAAGATCTGTATCCACATGTTTCATTTGGAATGAGCAAATGAAGACTCCAGCATCACATATCACATTAACAATGTCTCCCCTCATTTTGGAATCAAGTTTTTCGGGGTGCTTGAGTATCACTTTTCTTAAAGACCTGAGTCCTTCATAGAGCTTTTGCAGTTGATCCTTGATGGGAAACATAACACTGGAACTCTGCGCCAGCTCCTCGTAAAAAACAGAAACGAGAGAAGAAAGGAGATTGCTGGTTGCAGTAAGGGATTCATCATCTTCTTTACCTTGATCAGGAGGAACAAGTAATTTTTCCCCAAACTTCGAGCTGATCAGTGCTTCAGTGTAAGTCTTATAGACCTGAGGATGAATAGGCTTGATCTTTTGCATCAATCTTGAAAACTCCAACACCTTGTTTTCTGCAAAGCTTTCACGTAACACAAGTCTTGATAGATTTCGCTTGGAAACTCCATCATCGAAAAGAAGAAACGCAGCATCAATAGTGACAGCTCTAGCATGAGCCAACAAATCTTCCTGGTCTTCAACATTTATCTGTATGACAAACTGGATGAGACTTTGCAAGAATGTCAACTGCTGTTGCAAGGCTTTAATTGCATCACGCAGTTCGCAAGGGAGACCCCTTCGCAAATCCTGATAATTCTCTAGATTCTCCAGGGAGAAACTAATGAATTCCAGGATTTGGTTTACAGGAAAAGAAATCGATTGGCGCGGGACATCTAGGAGTGGAGTGTGCAATCTTTTAGCAAGCGTAAGAAGAGACCTACAGTATTCCAGTACCCAAGAAGGGGCAGAGGAGTAATCACGTACGCTTTTAGGATCAAAAGTTGGAATAAACTCTGCGATTTTTCGAACATAACCTTCAGTCTTTACCAAAGATGATGGACTTAAGTCGATGCCCAACATTTTGGCGCAGAGAAGAACCATCTTGAGGTTTCCCAATCTAAATTTCAGTAGCTTATAAGAGATTTCAGCCGTATCACCAGAAGCGGAGGTGCCTTCTATTAGCAAATCTACCTCATGTGAGGCAGAATGAATACAGTCAATGAGGGTGGACACCATCTTCTTGTTTGGGATGGATTAGCAGCAGCAAAGGAAACTAGAAGAAAGCCAAATAAAAGGGAGAAGGGGTTTGCTATGTTATAAGGAACGCAATCTGATTTGGAAATCGAAGGAAAGAGAAGAAGGATTTGGATGGAGAATGAAACAAAAAAAGTTCAAGAAAAGGGTTGGGAAGATGATGATCAAAAGGGAACAATGCTGATGAAGAAAGTGAACAAAAAGACAATTAACTACTCATATTTAAACAAATTGATAAGTGAAGGAGACTGTAATGGCCTTTTCGTCTGCCTCGGAGTGATGTAATTACAATATAACTGATTAAATCAACAATATGCTCCGTCATCTCAGAAAATTATTTCGCTTTCTTTTTATTGTTTTCGTTCGATAAAGTGGACTTTTTTCTTAGAGTAAAGGTGTGCTCAACATGAAATTAATCTGGTTGGGAAAGTCAATCTTGGCGTGCTAAAATCATAAATTAACGATGCAAGCAAAGCTGATTGATCGCGGCCACTTCTGATTTTTTAAGATTAAACAAACAAATTGATGAAATTAATGAACTGGTAACAACTATACCTCAAAATTAATTAATGCTTTAATTTTATTATCCTGCTATTACGATTTACATAATAAAATACGACTAAGTACCCTACAGATAATGAGCTGGTCAGAAGAAAACAAAACAAATTAGCATTTCTTAAAACTAATGACCCAACTAATCACATGATCACGTGTTGGGAAATTGAAAACTGCAGAGGTTGACTTTTTGTTTGTTCACTTTCAAGTTTCAATGTTTCCTTGATATCAATAAGCAAAGCAGTGGAAGCCGACACATGGTTACACAAGCTAGTTTCCAACTAAACCAAAAAGTATTCTTCTTGGGTTTTCCCTCCGTCCAACTTTAATAATCAGTGTACTCCTTGTAGTTCATCAAAACGAAGAACAAAGAGTTGTTAGGAAATTAATAGAGAACATGAGTTTCGAATTTGGGCATCTAACTTACAGAGAAATGTTGAACACGAGATTTCTTGGCTCATGCTGAAGCTGTTGCTACTGATTTTGTAATTACAAGTGGTGGAACTCCGGTTAGGGTTTCTTGCAAAACAGGATCTCGGGGTCTTGCGAGGGTAGACATCCCGATGCTTAAGTCAGTAAAAGGGTTGCTAGAAAGTTTAGAAAGATAATTTTTTTGGCTATAGATTGCGTACCTTTATTGTGGTATGAGCTATCCTATTTATAAGTATGAGATTATCTGGGCAGTTCTCGAATCCAACTAGGTTTCAGGAACTTACACCGCCCTAAGAGTCCCGGTTAGATTCTTTCTACCGTTTACGGGTCGGTCCAGTTTCGGTGATGGATATAGACTCATCAGTAAAGGTGTGCTAAAATTTGGTATGTGGATCCATACAACCAGCTCAACAAGAAATTAAGCTGGTTGGGAAAGTCAATCTTGGCGTGCTAAAATCATAAATTAACGATGCAAGCAAAGCTGATTGATCGCGGCCACTTCGGATTTTTTAAGATTAAACAAACAAATTGATGAAATTATTGAACTGGTAACAACTATACCTCAAAATTAATTAATGCTTTAATTTAATTATCCTGCTATTACGATTTACATAATAAAATACGACTAAGTACCCTACAGATAATGAGCTGGTCAGAAGAAAACAAAACAAATTAGCATTTCTTAAAACTAATGACCCAACTAATCACATGATCACGTGTTGGGAAATTGAAAACTGCAGAGGTTGACTTTTTGTTTGTTCACTTTCAAGTTTCAATGTTTCCTTGATATCAATAAGCAAAGCAGTGGAAGCCGACACATGGTTACAGAAGCTAGTTTCCAACTAAACCAAAAAGTATTCTTCTTGGGTTTTCCCTCCGTCCAACTATAATAATCAGTGTACTCCTTGTAGTTCAACAAAACGAAGAACAAAGAGTTGTTAGGAAATTAATAGAGAACATGAGTTTCGAATTTGGGCATCTAACTTACAGAGAAATGTTGAACACGAGATTTCTTGGCTCATGCTGAAGCTGTTGCTACTGATTTTGTAATTACAAGTGGTGGAACTCCGGTTAGGGTTTCTTGCAAAACAGGATCTCGCGGTCTTGCGAGGGTAGACATTCCGATGCTTAAGTCAGTAAAAGGGTTACTAGAAAGTTTAGGAAGATAATTTTTTTGGCTATAGATTGCGTACCTTTATTATGGTATGAGCTATCCTATTTATAAATATGAGATTATCTGGGCAGTTCCCGAATCCAACTAGGTTTCAGGAACTTACACCGCCCTAAGAGTCTCGGTTGGATTCTTTCTACCGTTGACGGGTCGGTCCAGTTTCGGTGATGGATATGGACTCATCAGTAAAGGTGTGCTTAAATTTGGTATGTGGATCCATACCACCAGCTCAACAAGAAATTAAGCTGGTTGGGGAAGTCAATCTTGGCGTGCTAAAATCATAAATTAACGATGCAAGCAAAGCTGATTGATCGCGGCCACTTCGGATTTTTTAAGATTAAACAAACAAATTGATGAAATTATTGAACTGGTAACAACTATACCTCAAAATTAATTAATGCTTTAATTTAATTATGCTGCTATTACGATTTACATAATAAAATACGACTAAGTACCCTACAGATAATGAGCTGGTCAGAAGAAAACAAAACAAATTAGCATTTCTTAAAACTAATGACCCAACTAATCACATGATCACGTGTTGGGAAATTGAAAACTGCAGAGGTTGACTTTTTGTTTGTTCACTTTCAAGTTTCAATGTTTCCTTGATATCAATAAGCAAAGCAGTGGAAGCCGACACATGGTTACAGAAGCTAGTTTCCAACTAAACCAAAAAGTATTCTTCTTGGGTTTTCCCTCCGTCCAACTTTAATAATCAGTGTACTCCTTGTAGTTCATCAAAACGAAGAACAAAGAGTTGTTAGGAAATTAAAAGAAAACATGAGTTTCGAATTTGGGCATCTAACTTACGGAGAAATGTTGAACACGAGATTTCTTGGCTCATGCTGAAGCTGTTGCTACTGATTTTGTAATTACAAGTAACTGTAAATGTTATATATACATCTGAAAGGAGCAAAAAATCAATATCCGATCAAGCAACTCCAAAATGAATTACTCCTTCATGTTATGGTTCCGATCAGTTATTAGGACTACCCTTCGAAGCAATACATTACCGGTAAAGAAGAGAAGGCTCGCAGTCCAACTCTAATACTGGTTACATTGAATGATAAGGAGTCTTGAAGTGATAAGGAGGCTGATGATCATCATCAATCAGAACAACCTTTATGAGAATATTATTTGTTTATCTACTGGTTACATTGAATGATAAGGAGTCTTGAAGTGATAAGGAGGCTGCTGATCATCATCAATCAGAACAACCTTTATGAGAATATTATTTTTTTGATAAACAGTAATTAGATTTAGCTTTATCCCTTTAGTCTAGAGTTTATAAATATAGACTCCATATTGTAATGTTATTGAGAAAAATAAAGTGATGGAGTCTTTCAACAATTTAGTTTATGTCTACTTTTATTTTTAATAAATTCAATACCAATTTTCTTCTTTGTATTAAAACAGGTTCTATCCTGCGTCTGTTATTTTTTTCTTCTTCGTATTTTTCTTCTTTATTTGAATAATACTACATCTTTGTCCATCAAGCTTCCGTATCTTTGTTCATAAATGTTAGAACACAGCAACACCTTAAACGATAATTCTATATTCACATATCTATTTACTCCTTGGAATATTAAATAGAAGAAGAACTATAAATCTACGGTCAACACTACTATTTGGATTTTTTTTTTCAATTATATTATATGTTTACATCAATGGAACTGATAGTCTAATTGAAGCATTGGAATTGTCATTGATGCAATGAACATAATACCTGTGAAAAAATACTAAACTGTAAAATTGAATCTATCAAATTCTTCAAACTTGGAAGTCTCTAAAGGTTGATAGTCGGAAAGCTCAAGTCGAAGGAAACACCATGGTGACTCGGTTGCTTTACATTGTTTTCATCATTAAAATGATGTTCAAGGGATCCAAGACCATGATCTTTTTCTTCAGGGAGACTGATCGATTTACGTCTGCACATTGACACCAACAACTAAATTACTGAAAATCAGAACTAAAAAAAAAATGCAAGAAAAAATAAGCATTGCAGACATTAGCAAATGAACGATATTGATTTAGGTCTCCACATTCAAGGAACAGAATGGTTTCCCTGTTTGATTTATTTACCCGCACATTAGGATCCCACTTGATATGATGCATCATAACTGCATGTGCCCCAAAACTGATCACCGTACCTCAACCCCAATGCAACATAAACAGGATATTCTGACCTTATTGGCATAAAATTTTCAAAAAGAAAATCAGTCCACATATCCTACTCGACATATTAAGTTATAAAAATACAAATAAGAATGTATTATCGTACCAAAAGAGTCAACTTGGATAGTCTCAAGATCATCAAGAAAAAAGGTTTAAATTCACGAACCTGAACTATCTCGTTCTTTTTATGAACTTCCCTTCAGGAAATGGAAAGAATTCTTCTGCCCCAAGATCAAATTCAGTGGCAAAAGAATCACCCTTGCCCACCCGCTTAACTGTTCCATCGTTGGCTTCAATGTATATAACATCGCCAACAGCCAGCTATAAAAGTAGTTAAAGCAAAAGCCTGTCAAAGCAACAATGAAAATAGTAAAGCACTGCCAAATGCAGTATTTTAAGTATGAACAAAACAATACATAGATAGCTTGATTGATTAAACAACCTCTAAAAGTATCACCTTCTTTACATGAATTTTTCAGTTACATAGAAGATGCCAATGAAATAAAGAAATTAAAATACCACCATATACAGATTGGTACTTGGATGCCTAGTGAACAGTTCTAATAATACTAAGATGGAATAACTTCCAGTCTTCAGCATGATCTAACCAGTACAATCTACAATAGACATTTAAAACCTAAGAAAAAAG